TAAATTAGATGGGTGGTGGATTACAGGTTAAGATTGGATCGGATATGATAATTGGATTATTGGGTAAATAGAACGAGGGTTTGTTAATTGACAAGTAGAATTGATGTTGATTAATTCATTTTAAAAATCTTTTAATTATTTATTACTACTACTACTATCACTACTATTATTACTATTACTACTAATACTTTTATTTATTATTATTGTTATCATCATCATAATCATTATTATTATTATATAAAATTAAATTATTAAACTAGTCTCATTTCAAAGTTTCCTTGTTTATTGAATAAAAACAAATAGTACGTTCGTTCGTTCGATTTTTTGTTAATTGCCAAGTTATTTGCTTGGTAGATTAAGTTAGTGGATATAATACAGAACATCTCAACGTTTTCTATAGTTTTGATGGTTACAATATCCACAAGAAAAAATAATAAAGGAGAATTGCCAACATTTTAACGAATAGTAGTTTGTTGTAATGTGCTTGTAATCTCCTACATATGTATAATACATATTAATGTGTGTGCATTTAATCTTCTAATTATTTATTTATTTATTTAATGAATATTAAAAAATATCTTTCTATATTCACACTTCATACCATTCTAAATTATTATAATAACGATAAGGTTCATTATTAATATTGTTAACCATAGAACAATATGTTGCACGCCCAGAATTTTTGACTTTAATAAAATATTCTTCATGGGGACTTAACAAGTGGTTCATTGTCTAATTTCCTGTTTCTTTGATTTTAATGGTACTTACAGTTTATTCAATATAATTACATTTATCCTCAAAAACTGATTTAGAAAATATATCTTTAGCCCTTGAAGATAAATATGGGAACCGCAATTAGCCACAATTCAATTTTCATATGTCGTAACCGTAACCGTAATTCAATTTTTATATACCGCAATTAGTTGACATTTGATCAAAACGAATGAAAAAATTTTATCGCATAATTCTATTGTGATGGCTCATAATATAAATTGTTGGTTGATCCTTCGGATCATCTGCAGATAAAATTTTAAAATTTGTTTGTCAGATGTAAAGATAAACATCACATCTAAAGAAGATATTTAAAAAAAACAAATTTAATTGCTTGATTCATTGAAATCTTTTGATATTATT